TATATAACATGAAAATGATAAGAAAATGGAAAGAGATTAATAAGAAAAAAAATAAAGAGAATAATAATAAAATTATAATTAATAATAATTATAGAGTAATAGAGAATAATAATTAATCTACAAAATCTTCACGTTTATATCAGCGAAATAGTGCTTTTTAACGTTGCATAGTTAAAGCAAAATATATCAATGCAATGGTTTGAAGATCACAAAGAAAAAAAACACATCGGTTCGTAAACAAAGTTTTGTAAAGTAAAAAAAACGCAAAAATGTAAGAAAAATACAAAATAAAACACAAAATTCATGATACACAATAACAATAAAATAGTAAAATAAAATAATCAAATATTTACATAAAAAATTTTCCAGTTTGATAAGGTATAAGCTTCTAAGTTATCTAGATTATTATTTTTGCAATGCGCAAATCCCATTCGAGCAATCTTTGGCTAAAAATATTTAATAACTAACCAACAACCTCCTTTAATATTCAAATAAATATTTAATGTCATTCAAATTATAATTTCAATAATTAATCAAATTATAGTGTTAATAATTTCAATACAAATCAAAAAATTAAAATGCTGCTTTTAAAGTTCCACTTTTTATTAATTATAAATTTTGAATTATCCAGTATTAAATATTATTACCTTGCAGAAATCCAGTTTTTGGGCCAATACAAGGAAACAGACGAAAAAAAATGCAATTTCCAGTTTCAGTATGAATGCGCCTTAGAAACATATACCACTACTCACAATTTACCTTCTAATTTCATATTTTGTAAATTGGCGATTTAGTTACGAATGTAGCACTTTGAAATCATATTTGCAGAATATTTGCCTGCACATGACATTTCTAGTTTTCTTTTAAAATTTTTTAAAATTCTTTTCATCATAAAATTTTTTAAAATTCTTTTCATCATAAAATTTTTGTTTACTCATTATTTTCGTCATATAAATAACCATAAGAGAATCTGGTATAAGAAGTTATATTCCATTTTGATATTAATGATATGCCGAAGAAAATACCATTTTACTTCAACAATGCTCGTTAACAATCTCGCAGAAAAGTGTTATTCGAAAGATATAGAATGATAAAGCAGATATCTTTAAATGTGCTTCTAGTTATGCAAAAATGTTTGTAATTATTGTCCAGATATCTTTAAAACTTTCGGAAAATGGCACGTCACAACTAGAAGTCAAAACCGCCTCTTAAAACTATGTATGATGCCGGTAAAGAAAGTACAATTTTTAATAATTTATTGAGAGACATTATTTATTTGGTAGGATAAAATGCTTGAATTATATCTGTTATACTCTTTACTTTTTAGTCAACAAAAATGGTTTTGAATCATTTCCAATAATTGAATTGGAATCATGTTGTCTCCTTGCATTGTGAAGTTAAGAACTTATCATATTAATTAACTAATATTGATAAGTTAATAATTAGTTATATTAATTAATTTTAATTGATTAGATTAAATCTTGCTTCTTAACATTTTTTCAAAGAAAATTGGATTTAATTCTAGATATCATTTCAAAAGCTTACAATCAGACCCCATTTCTATCGGTGATCAATGAAAAGAGAAGGGAAGTAATTAACAAATTTCTGAAATTTAACTCACTATATCTTTGGTAAAAAGAACAAAGTTCAGAAATAATTATTTAATTCTTTCTATCTTATAGTACTAAAACTAATAAAATTTAAGGATTTTTAATATTTGACGCGATTTCTATAAAAAGAAAGGGACATTTTTAAGAATGCAACAAAATCTCTATACCCAAAATGAAAAAAAATGTCATTTTTAAGACACATTTTCTAAATATGGCAAATACACACAACTTGATATTTTTTCCAGTAATATATGCTAATAACTAATAAGAATGATGAAAAGTATATAATACTGGAAAGTCATAATTTCTAGTAACGTACTTTTTATTCATTTAAAAAGAAAAGGGATTTCAAAAATATTGATTAGAATATATTTAGAAAAATATTTGTTTCGTATGACATAAAAAGATATTTGAAAAGGGATGAAATCTCCTTGTTAAATGAAATGTTGTTTTTAAAAGAGAATATTTCTTTCTTATGACACAAAGATATTGGAACAGAAAAACATCACCATTTTGTTAATGAACGTTTTTCAAATAAATATTTGATTGAAAATTCACCTTCAGTTAACGTAAATAGTGTAAAGATTATCTACACCACAATTCAAGTTCATTGAAGCAACGTTTTAGAGTACCTTTTGTGTTGAAATTGAGAAAAAACATTTAAATAGTAACAATGTTAAAGAGTGTCATTTACAGAGATGCCAACTTGCTCCGGACAGCAAATAAATATTTTAAAGTGGTAGCTTATCAATTGTGATTTTAGGTTTAATAAATTCAATTTAGCAGATTTTTATCCACCACTATTTCTAAATAATTCGTAGGCTTATATAATTCACCACTTTAAAATAGTTAAGTCATGCTATACCTTTTGAAAAGCGAGCAAAAATAGTTAAATATTTACAAAATTTAGCTTGTAGTTTTTTTAATTTATTTTGGCGTGTCCGGAGCAGTTGGCATCCTTGCATTCATAGTTTTTGAGAAAGCAGCTTCGAAAATAAAATTGTTTTAGAATCATTAGAATCTGATTTTTATAATGAACTTAAAATTTAAATATGTAATTTTGTTTTAAAAACGTGACTTCCCTTAAGAAGTTCGTTAAGAATATTATGTAAAGCTAAATAAATACAATCAGCATGACTGGAAACTTCAAAATCTTTGCTTACTAAGGTAAAGTATAAGATGATAAAATCAAAATCATAAACTTAGAATAAAAATAGTATAGAATGTGAGTGGGAGTTGCATAGCAAAAAAAAAAAAAAAAAAAAAAAAAAAAAAAAAAAAAAAAAAAAAAAAAAGAGTACAATCCAAGTTTTTTTATCTTTTAACTTATCAATTTAGATGGAAATTTATAGTTTTATGTGTAACAAATTCAGCTGTAAAAATTTAGCTAATTTAGTTAATTAGTAATTATTAAATTTAGTTTATATCCATAAATTGGAAATGAAAAAAAATGGGGAATTTGCCAGATTTAGAGAAAAAAAATCTTACACAGGGATTGTAATGTAAAACTCAAAAATGGATACTAATGTATGTAATAAACGAATTTATAAAAAAATACTTTCTGAATATTAAAAAAAAGCAAAGACGGAATTATATTAAAGAAATATCGAATCTGGTGCCAAAGGAATATTAATATTAGGAATTCGAAAAAGTGAAGATGATCCAGTAATGCATATGCAAACAATAATATTAAAGAAATATGTAGGAATAATAATGTAAAATGAAAGAAGAAAGAAATAATATAGTAGGTGGATCAAATATTTTGGTCAAAATAAGAATGTAGGAAAGATTAAATCGGTAAGTTAAAAGAAAATATGAAAATAACAATAATATTAAAGTATAATATTCAGAATTTGAGAAGATATATGCTCAAAATATCATTAATACTAAATGACAGAAGGAATAAATATTGTCTTGCCTTTGGAGAACGTGAAGAAGTTTAAAATGTCAACTTACGTGATAGCATTTATTTATAAATGGTAACTGATATGGCTATACATGTTATCGTTCAGGAAGCACTTTTATCGAGACGGAAACGCATTATTTT